CGATCTAGAGAATGACGTAGGAAGTTCCCTCAAAATTGAACGACAGAAAGCGATTGAGAATGGCTAAGCTCTCAAAACGGGGAGACGCAGATAGAATAAAGAAATCAGGAAAATAGGAGGTCAAAGTAGAGAAAAGACAACAGAAGAATAAAAAGATCCGCAAAGAACTGTAGTTGAACAGAGGGCAACAAGACGATGGGAAGGAACATTACCACGAAAAAAACCGCAGTCACTATCGTTGCGTTTCTTGTGTAGTTTGAGAGTATTGCTATATGTACCTGTTCATTTATTTGTGTGATAAGAGTTGTGAGATTAACTGTTGTGACCAACCATTCCACAGCGGCTCGTGAAAGCGATGCTTGTGTTGCACCTTTTGCAAACTTCAGACGAGCATTCAATTGCGTTGGTGAAGCCGAACTTTCTGGAAATGAAGTAATATGGACTGAGGGGGCTAATGTGATACACCACATGTCAGAAATTTTGAAGAATATACAGATGAGCGTGAGAAGGCTCCACTGTTTGTAGAAAAACAAGTCCTTTAGTATGAAGAGGCCCTCACCGGCCGGTTTTGTAGAGGAACACAAGAACGATCTGGAAGGCAAACAGCTCAGACTACTTGCTCTACTTTCGAGAGAAATGAGCACCACTGTGCCACTATGAGCCATCGGATATCATCGCTTAGAGTCCGGCGTTATCTCTCTCGAAGTCCAACATATTCCAAATATATGACAGCTGCAAAAGACTATGACTCTTACAGCGCTCCTCCTCCAAACCATCCGCTATCTGTCTCCAAACGACTATGTCGAATGCAGTAGAAAAACCGCCATGATGATTCCGCTCTTCACGTTTTCCAACATTATTTTGCACTGCGACCACTCAAAAAAGGCCCTTAACATGACCCCCCCCCTTCCGCACACCCAAACCACTGCTTCTCAGGCGAAAAACGGAATGGGACAGATTTCCAAACGGGCAACAATGGGGCTTGAAAGCTAGGACCCACTCGTTGACAATACACGAAAGAGCCTGTGGGTACCGAAGTAGTACTGCACCTGAATGCCAGAATGTGGTCCATATTGATGAAGGATTTCCTGTGTGTTTGCAGGAACTGTGAGTTAATGGTGGGAGGCAGCACTAGGGATGATCTGGTATACAGGGGTGGCCCAAAAAAAAGTCACTTTGCTTCATTGACTTTCGAGGCGCTATAAGTTACACTTTATAAATTCTGATCATTTCTACCACCATATTAAAGAGCATATTAAATACTATCATGACACTCCGCCACAGCCTTCTGGACGAGCGCCATTCTGGCACGCGACCGCGATGTGGTGCCTGAGATCAGCGAGATAGTCGATTTCTCCGCCACCGTAGACCACCCTATTGAACTCCGCCCGAACCGGGTAATTGAGGGGATTCAGGTCAGGTGACCTACTTGGATATTCCATCTTCTTTAGGTACTCAGCCCCCTTCCATTCCAGTAGGCGAGAGTTTCTCCAACGCCCTTCGATTCCACGTGGTGGCACCCAATGCTGTAGCAGTACAAAGTTTCCAAGAAGGTACGGGCGACGACATGTGGGGAAGATATTCTTCTTGAGTTGGTCGATGTAACAGCCAGCGCTCAGCTTCAGCCCGGGTCCACGAAGAAAATATTGGTCCGTCTTTTCGCATTTCCAGTCATGTGCGTCCGCGTCCATACCGTCAACCCGCTGCCTTTGGCGACTGCCTGTGTAAGATGACTGTCCTTAGACCGTACGCGACGTTGACCATTGCTCAGGCCGGCCTGCTCGATGTTATGCGAGCGCGGTCTGTCCAGAGTTTGAGTGCGTCAACTGCGTCGTCCAGGCTAGCTTACCCATGGGTGACTCCACACTAGGTAGAAGGTTTCGCGCAGCTGTTTAGATCGGTGACATGAATTCAAGGTCTTCTACCAGCCAGGCTCGCGACTGCTGAGTAAGTGGTTTTATCTTTCGTTACTGTTTTCAATAATGCAGAAAAGACAGACTCGCGTTAGACACTCCAGGGCAGTTTTACAATGACATTCACGCGCCGTACTCTCAGATCTTATCGGCTTGCGAATTGTCCATTGTTTGCATATCTCTTAGAGAAGCACGCGAACCAGCTTGGATAATTCTGTCAGTTTTGCACCGTCCTATCAGATCACGCCAGTCCTTTTTCTTCTTTTTCTTTTTTTCTTCTTTCTTTTTTTAAACTATAGTGATGAGGCCAAGATAATCACATCAAGTTAACATTCAGTGAGGAAGAAAATCGGCATCAAATTCTAGCTATTTGATGTTTGCCACCGCTTTTGTCTGATTAATCCACAAGTAACCGGAATCAAGTAACGAGTCCTCTGCCTAGCTTTCTGGTTCATTCCAATCATTTTCTGCAACATCGTTCCTAATATTGACCAGTCGGCTGGTTCCAAAAGATAGCTAAGAAGATGAAACAGTTAAAACAACAGAAGTAACTTATACGTCAGAAAACAGGGCAAATGGAAACGTTCATAACTTGCCGCTCACCATCGCATTGATGAAATCACAGGGGAAAACGGAAGTGAAAAATTGGTGGAATTATTGCACAGCTCACACGAAACTTGGGTAACCCGTCATTTCTTTGCTGATTTGATGTTAAGTTAATTGCGGCAATAAAACTGAAAAAAACTAAGCAGTAATGGCGATCAACACCGAAAGAGAGAAGCACTAAGTAGGGAAGTGGATAATGAAATCGAGTCAGCTGCGATTGGGTATTTCTTCGACGCCTTGTATTTCATTTTTCTGTGAAAAACCATGAAAATCATTAGTGGTGGAAAATATGATATGTGCGTAAATGAGTAGTAATTGCTGACAAACCATTTACAAAGAGTTTAAGAGAGCGCGCATCCCATTTCTTGCTGTGATTCCAGCGGTCCTCCGGGCACGCTGTCAACTCCACGTCATTTGCACCACCGAGCAATTTATAGATCTCCACCATCTCATATGGTGATTTCGTGATGATATCATGGTTCTGGAATTTATCTGATGAACCTCTCATCACTACATGATGGTTTTCACATTCATTACACATCTACTTCACATTAGCAGCACCAGAAGAACAATAGGCAATGTTCACACAAAGAGCGTCATTGATGGTGGGTGGATTGCGTTTGTTTTACAACACAGTACTGTTGCGCTGGCACTGAAAACGGTAGCTACCAGTTGTCAGGTTTTAGATTAGGAGCACGGTTGACCTAAGGATCAGGATAAAGCATAAATCTCCGCCGTTGATCAATCCCTTTGTGGGATGCGGCACGCATTCTACTTCCATTCAGAATCGTAGTGGCTTATTGAATGCGATGTGGCCTATACAATGACTTGCGGGGGGAATAGGTGACTTAATTGGCCTAGACGGGAGTCGACCCGGGATTTGAACCCACCACCTGAGTGGGTGTGGAGCGTTCCGGTCCGCTTTTTCGCACTTCTTCCTCTCATAGTGGCAGAGCCGACCTCACTTGATTGCTTGCTCGCTGCCTCGTGACCTCTCATAGACTTACGAAGTTTGATCAGATATAACACGGAAAGGGTAGGAGCCATAATAATAAGAGTAAAAAATGTGAAGGACAGACCGCATTAAACGAATATTGTATTCTGAATTGATGAGTCGAGAGTGAAAAACACACAATAGACGCAAAAGAACGGAGGGAATGACGTCAATCACATGAACTGCGACAGTTAAAGTGGAGTTATCATCACGTGTTGAGTTAAGATTGCTTTCAACAAACTATTGCTAATTATTGCGGATTATTTTCATGTGCAGTGAAAATAAAGCTCTGTATTTTCAAATTAGAGACCATATATATGTAGAGATTACCCCCATAAATCCTATCCGCGGCCTCAACGTGGCATGGGGGTGGTGGCTTCGGCCAGCGAACGCGGAGGGTGCCTCCTGAGGATAGAAGCATTGCAGAACTTCACTCAGGAGGTTCATTCAAATTCTGCACAATAATGATCAATGGATTTTTCAAGTATCCCGATCAGAGCTAGGTTGCCCACCGTAATGGGCCAAACTAGGACGTCCACCGTAATGGACACACAAGCTAGGAAGTCCTCCGTAAAGGACAAGCGCGAGACCATCAGGATCGCCACACTTAACATCGGCACCCTGACCGGCCGTTCTGCCGAACTGACGGACATGCTGACGGAAAGGAACATCCATCTGCGCGCTTCAAGAAACGAAATGGGCTGGCGCTAAGACGAGAAGGAGGATTCAACTTGTACTATAACGGAGAGCGATCCAAAGTCAACGGTGTCGCCATTGCAGTGTCACAGA